TTTCTACGCCCGACCCCTGCCCTGCCGACGACCCCCTTTAAAGCCGAGGGCAGGTCGTGGAGTCGCTTTGCCTTTTCCCTTCCCACACGCCTCCCCGCCCCCCCGCCCCTTACGCTGCTCCTCCCCCGGCGGGCTCGCAATATGTACAAAAGCGTCAGCCGCCCACTCGGGAGGAGGCACGAACTGGCCCGAAGCCACAAGCCCTCGCAAGCGCGCGCTGCTACTCATTTGCCCAGGCGCTCGAGCAATCGCCCAGCTTCCCGCTCGAGAGAGCCCCGCGGCGCGGGGCCGATCACCCTTTCCGCCCCGACCTCGGCCAGGGCCGCGACCAGCAGCTCGTGTACCTCCAGGGCCTTCGGAACGCCCTTGTCGATGTGAACTTGCAAGCGCACCTTGCCTTCCATTTTCTTCGAGACCGTCCCTTTGGGCTTCCGGACGCGGAAGTACGGCACCATCTCTGCGATCTCCTCGCGGCTGGACCCCTTGAAGACCTCCCTCCACACCTTCTCTGCCTTCTCCTTGTACTGCTCCCCGACGTTCTGGCGCATGTTCAGAAAGACTGCCATGAGCACCACCAGGAACGGCGGGCCGAGCTGAGACATGTCGACCTGCGGGTCCGACTCCTTCTGCTCGCGCAGCGCCTCCACCTGCTCGTGGTAGTGCTTCCCCGCCGCAATCGCCGCCAGCGCGATCCAGCATTGCTCTGGGAGGATGAAGGTGTGAAACGTCGATGCCGTGAGGTCGGCGAGCTCCCGCGCGTTCATGAGCACGAGGCGCCCGAGTATGAGCACGAGCGCCATGAGGGTGTCCTTGTTGCCCTTCTGGCTCCCCTTGGCCAGCTTGCTCGCTTCGGACGCGAGAGCCTTGGCCGACCCTTGGTCTGCGGCGGACGCCTTGCGCTTGGGGCGCATGGGCGCTGACCACTCGGGGAGTTCCACGTCGTCTCCGGCCAGGTCCACCAGCATCGACATGCTGCCGTCCAGGGCCGAGCTGCTGAAGCCGCGGTGTAAAAGGAAGATGCGTACTCAGATGGTCAGTGAAGGCTGAAAGGTCGCCGAACTCTGAGCCGCAAATTTGACAGCACATGGACGCCGGAATCTGCAAGCTATTCAAAGAAGAGGCCTTATCCACCAAGCAACGCTGATGCTGGAGAGCCCCCGAAAGATGATGAATCGCAGCCAATCTCGTGGAAAATATCTGACGGCAGGCCACGCACTGGTTCGTGACTGTCACCGCTGCTGAAAATGTCTTGACTTTATGGGCCGATCGCAAATGATTAAGAAGACCCCGTCTATCTGCGAAAGCTGCGTCGCATGCTCCCTGAGAGTCGCACCAGCTACAAACGTGGCATCGTTCTGTCAAGAGGGCGTTAGACTCAGCCCTCGCAGCTTCCTCTCGGCAATCCCACGGTGGAACCTCCACCGTAGTCGCGGCCCGACGTAGGATGCCCACGTCGATTCTCGAAAAGGCCTGGGCGACCTCGCACTCGAAAAAAGCAGCGATCGACTCGTTGACCGACCCCCACAAGACCGCCGCCTCCTCCGAGCACTGGGCCAACACCACAATATCCTCCTGGGCCCTCAGAGCCCACGGGTTGGCCCCAGGAACAACCCGGCCCCCCTCGTCGAACACAGCCTGGTCGAAACTGAATTTGCCGAAGATTGCCCCCACTACTTGCCGATGCTGCTCGGGTCGTCGGAAAATCTCTTGCAGCCAACGCAGGCGACGAACCCGGAGTTCCACCCCAGTAGGTGGGATTCCCCACCATTCCAAAACTGCCTGGGACGACAAGCACCGGATACCCCTTTCAGTCTCCCATGCTGCCGCCCCGCGCATCGCACGACGGCAGAGCCCAGCCAGAGCAAGGTCCATGCGTTTCGTTTGTGCCGGGCTCGGGAGAAAGCACTCACATGCACTAAGGAGTCCATTTGCAACTCGGCATACCATAAGACATTTTTTCCATCTGAAGGGGACGTTGGGCGCAGACCAAAACTTCCCCATCATGAAATAAGACTGCTTCATCGCCGCTATTCTTTTGACGAGCTCCCCCGAAAACGACTGGCTAGCAGAAAGCACAGGCCCCAGGTACCGAACGTGTTCAGCAGCACTAATGTTATATTTCTTCAGCTCGTTTGCTAGCCTCCGCTTAGCCCTCCCTCCCACAGATAGAATAGCTTCTTGCTTGCTGATGTTCCTCCGGTACCCCGCACCCGCTAGTTCTCGATCTAGTATTTGGTCACATAGCTGCACTTTGCGCTCTACGTCCTTGACTGTCCAGCCCTTGTTCAAAACTACCTTTTTCTTCAGATCGTCAGCGAACTTGAACAGCCCCAGGTAAACTTTAGTAGGGGACACGAAGGGAACCTCTGCCTCAAGCAATGCATCATCCTCGTCAGACGCACGGTACTCCGCTATCCAAGCGTCCACTGGGACGCGGAACGCCTCGAGGAAGGTGTGGACGGCAAATGGGTCGCCCATGAATGCGCCACACGAGTTTTTAATCAGAAGCTGCCCCTCCGGCGTGGGCAACAAACACGACGACACTCGATACCTCTGAACCCCCAGACCGTGATGGAAGTCTCCCGTGTAGCACCTCGTGGCACGATCGAGCGCCCTCCACGAAGTCGAAGCGAATGCGTTTGTCATGTCTTTCAAAAGATCGATCCAGTCAAAACCAGCTTGGCGGAGTCTCCACCCCGTGCACATTGATGAAACGATCGCATCTTCACGACGTCTGCGTCTCAAGAAACCATGGTCACACTCGGACGGACGAGGTCGGGACCCTGGGTCCTCCAGGGATGCCACAAAACACTTTCCGAGGGGATCAAGACCATGAACAACTCTTCTACCACGAGCTCCCGGTTGTGTATTTTTGAAGAGGGGGAAGCCCTGACTGCACGACCACTTGATTGGTAGAGCCCAACACTGTCGGAGCTTAGTGAAGGAGGCGAGCAGCCAGTCGCGGACACTTTCGGAGAGCACTGCACGCGGTTCGTGCCCAAGGCCACGACGCTGTACTATGCCACTGGGCGGGATGAGGCACATGTGAAAAAGCTCAAGTGGACAAGCCCAAGTCGGTACTCCCCGCCTTTTTGGAGCTTTGCGTAAATATTTGATCAATTTCTTCATGTCTCTTTCAGCCATTTCCTGGGCTACAGCTTCTGGAATGGCCAGCCTACCGGCGCGCACGTAATCGGCCTGCCTCGCCTGGAGCTGGGGCCAGTCCACTTTTACTGCCTCCATTCCGCCATCCCCCCCATGAAGTCCCCAGAGATCCAGCCATTCTTCGGAAGTAGGAAGACTGCCCCGGATTTTCGAAAAGTCCCGCCTCCGTGATCCCCTCGTTCCCCCTGCCAGGAGTAGAGATAGATTATGTACTCGTGCGATCTTTCTCTGATTCCACGCCTCGTAAATTTCTTCAACCAGTTTGTCCTGTTGAGCTCGACGTTGTTTTCCGAGAATGTTTCTGCACTGTTTGTCAACTACTTTCAACTGTGCGAGCACCCGGTCCAACTCCTCCCCGCCGGACCGACCCAGCGTTTCACGAAGGTGGCGGCGATGGCACAAGAGCTCCTCGCGCTCCTGGATATACTTCTGGCGATCGGGGTCCTTCCGGCCCGCCGCGAAGAACATCTGCCCTGCCTCCTGAAGGACCTTGTTAAGTTCCTCAAACATCTTATCAGAGGTGGTCGCCTGCCTCATCTCCTCCAACTCCTCCCCCTTGGACTCCAAAACTTCCGTGACCTTGGCCAGAAAATCTTCTCGTTGAAGGGACCCCACCACCCCCTGCATCAGGGCATCCTTATCCCACGGAATGCGTTCCATCGGGACTCCGTCAGGTCCCACTAGGACCGGTTGTTTTCCCCCTGGGTGGAGCGGAAGCCGAAGAACAGCGTGTACTGGAACATGGTCCCGGGGCTCCTTACACGAGATTAGTTGTAGCCGGCGCGCCATCCGTCTCAAGGCACCACTACTCTGGAGCAACGGCACCATATTCCCAGGAATAGCTAGATGATCCAGCATGGACCACCCTCCGTCCGTCCCGAAAAAAGTCGGCACCACGGCCCCCAAAGACATCACCGTGACAAGTCCCGCGCGTTCAAGAAGATGTCGAAAACACTGCCCCGCTCCCCCGATATGAGTTTCACGGCCAACCGCAGGGCCGAGAGCAGACGACTGCACGGCACTCCATTTCTGGTCCTCCTTGAGAGGAAGAGGAGCATGAGGAGGAGGAGGAGGAGGAGGAGGAGGAGCATGAGGAGGGAAAGAGGCGGAATGGAGATGGAAGGGGGCCGAAAAATATGAGGAGTTTTGGAGGACGCCAGCGTTGTTTGTTTCGTCCAGCCTTTTGGCAAGATCGGTCACGTTCTCCGTTTCTTCTCAGTCCACGGACAGGGTTGGGGTGGGGTCTTCCCGAGAAGACATTGAGGGCGCATCTCTTTCTCAGACGGCGCCCCCTTTACCGGCGCAGCCTGGCTTTCATTTGCGCGCAGTAAGCTGACAACAATTAACAATTGACTGGTCGGACCAGCCGTTGGATTGCAGTTTTACCCGTGGGGGGAGAGATTCTGGCTCGTAGTTTTGGGCCAACAGGTGAAGAGATCTTGCTGGCAGCACTTTCTGGCCACGGGGTGAGGATATTTGATGTAGGGCTGCCCCCCCTCCCCCTCCCCCGATGGGTCCCCCCCCTTCGTGTGCGTATGCGGAGTGGTGCTGCGGTGCTCCCCATTCCCCCCATTCCCCATGTGGGTGTAGGGTGGTGCGGTGGCCTCCCCTTGTCGACGGGATCGTCGTCATCATCGTCATCGTCGTCGTCGTCGCCCCCCCATGCCATCTGTGGGAAGGGAGGTTTGTGGGGCCCTGGGGCCCATCCCATCTGGCGGTGGGCCCGAAGCCCGTCTGTTTGAGGCCAGAGGGTGATTATATCTGATCGGCAGTGTGGGGCCAAGAGGTGCCCCCAACGGTGAAGATGTTTCGTGTGCTGCGCCCGTAGGTGTGCTCGCCCCTTGGCGTGAGGATGGCTGTGGGCCAAAGGGCGATGATTGTCCGAGGTTGCAGGGTCCAGTCCGCAGCTCTGGGAACCGGGGTTGGATCCGTAGCCCTTTGGGCCTTCGCCTCGGGGGTGAGGCGAGGCCTCGTGGTCCAAGGCGGCAGGCCCTGGAGCCACGGGTGCCCACGTGGCTGGCCGTGGGCAGCTGGCCCGCGCGCGGGCCGGGCGGCGATATGCAGGTGCTGCAGCCGCCCTCGCTGAACCCCCTGGCAGGACGCCTGGACTCCCAGCTGCCCTGCGGCGCGGTACTCTCCCCCAGCGGCGCCGCGGGGCCGAGCGGGCAGTTCGGCTCGGCGAGCAGCTGTGGCGGCAGCGCGGTGGTGCGGCTGCCCGAGCGAGGAGGCGCCGCGGCGAGACAGGCGTTCGAGAGCATCCCCTGCGGGCAGACCGTGCAGTTCCAGGGCGGGAGCCGGGCGGTCCAGGCCCAGGCTGTGAAGAAGTGGGGGTCCTGGAGTTGGAGCTTTTCGCTCGCGGGCTCACGGGAGGCCCTTCCGCTCCAAGAAACGATTCAGGGTGAAAGGCCATTCCTGGAGAAGGCCCGGGGTCCAGGGCCCGTTTCCACCAGGACCCTGCTCACTCGTGCCAAAGGCCGCCCCGCCTTGCAGCGGAGCCACCAGCAGCGGCGGCTGGACGCCGTCCCGGCCGGCCAGCTACGGTAGCCCTCTGCGGTCCGCGTACGATTCGGCCAGCGTCGGCCACGCGACCAGCATGCAAGGCCCGCCGCAGTCCCCCTTCCCCGGTAAGGAGCCACCGCAGCAGTTGCAGCCCGCCGCGACGGTGGGGGGGCCTGTGACGACAGTCCATCGAGCCGACGTCTGCCCTTCGTGCGGGAACGTCTATATGCTTGATTCCAATTTCTGCCGCAAGTGCGGCAGGCGCAGGGACTCGATGGCGATCGTGGAGCACCCTCGCGAGCAAGTGGTGGAGTACCATGAGAGGCAGGTGGGCGTGGCGGTGCAGCTCACCAAGGAGCAGATCGTTGAGGTCCCAGAAATCACCCAGATTGATTTTGCCAAGGAGGTGCCACGTCAGGAGCTGCAGCAGGTGCCGAAACCCGTGGAGAAGCCCGAGGTGCAGCTTGTCGAGAGGGTGATCGAAGTACCGTGGGTGGAGTATCAGGAGCGCATCGTAGAGGTCCCTCAGGTGGAATACCGCGAGGTCGTGAGGCAGGCTCCGAAGTACGAAGTGCGATACATAGACAAGCACGTCCCAAAGGCAATCGTGGAGTACGTCGAGAAGATCATCGAGGTGCCCCACATCGTGCAGCAGGAACGGGTGATCGAAGTGCCACAAGTGGAGTATTGCGAGGTTGTGAAGGATCGGCGGCGAGCGAGGGGGGGGACATGAAAAGGAGAAGGCCTCCTCAGACGGAGGCGGGACTTCTCAGCAGCCCTCACGCCTTCTGAGAAGTGATACTTGTCTTCGGGGAGCTCACGCCTTCTGAGAAGTGATATTTGTCTTCGGGGAGGCTTGGGGAACTTCTCAGAAGGCCGGGGGATTTCCGAGCCTTCTGAGAAGGCCCGCCCCTTCTCACTTCTCCCCCTCACTCGCCGCCGAAAGGAGGTCAAGGTGCCCGTGCCCCATCTCGTTGGGAAGCACATTCCCAAACCAGTGATGAACTATTTCGAAAAAGTAATCGAGGAGCCAGTGGTCCTGCGGCACGAAGTGCCGGTGGAGATTCCCCACGTGATCCACGTGGAAACTGTGACGCAGGTGGCCAAGCCGATGTACGAGGATGTGATGGTGCAGCTCCCACGGGAGCGACAGACGCCAGAAGATCAGCGCCAGGTAGCCAACACAGAGGCCAGCGCTGCGACGAGGACTGTCGTCGGGCCGCCCCCCCAGATTGAAGCGCACTCCGTCGCTGAGCTGCCAGCACAGGCCATGCAGCTGCCAACATCGGGCGCGAATCCGCCGAAAGTCTTCGCGCAGGCGATGGGCACGGCCGCGGTGGGCGACGACATCTTGCCTCTCCCGCCGCCGTCGCAGCATGCGCTCCCCGTGACAGCATTCCATAATTCCATGACAGGACCTGTCGGGCTAACCATGGCCACGGTGCAGACAGGCGGCGTGGGCATGGCGGGGGCCGTCGTCCCAGATCCTTTCCAGCCGATCCCCCTGCCGCCGTCACAGCAGGTGCTTCCGGTGACAGTATTTCATGACTCCATGACAGGGCCTGCTGGGCCACCCATGGCTGCCGGCTTCGCCGTCCCAGAGTCATCATTCCAGCATATCCCGCCGTCGCACATGCAGGTGTTGCCGCAGACCACAGTGCAGACGGGCGGCGTTGGTACTGCCGGGGCCGTCTCACCCGACGCATTCCAGCAGATCCCGCCGCCGCAGCAGCCGCAGGTGCTGCCGCTGACCAGCTTGCAGACGAGAACGGGGGCCGTCGTCCCGGACGCGTTGCTGCCGCCTCCAGGGCCAGTGCCCTCGTCGTTCCAGGAGATCCCGCCGCCGCCGCAACCAGCGGTGCTGCCGCAGACCATCATGCAGGGCGTCGCCAGTGCGGATCCTGTGGGCTTACCCATGGCGTCGATCCAGGCGGCACCGCTCACAGGTTTGCAGTGGCAGAGGCAGTCGCAAGGCACCGGCCAGGCGGCAATGCCCGTGACAGAGCATTTCGCGCAGCAGTCTATGGCCACTGGCCATGCCGTCATCTCCATACAGCTGGCGCAGCTGGCGGCGGGTCGCCAGGCCACGATTCAGACTAGCCAGCTGCCGCAACACCAAGCGCTCGCGGCTGAGTTAGCCGCGCAGACGCAGATGCTGCAAGTCCCTGGAGGGGAAGTGCAGTCGCAGCTGCTGCCAGGTACTGCTGGCACGCAGGCCCTACGGGGCGTGACTGGGACTCTGCAGGGGTATGGTACCCAGATGCTGCAGGCCAGTGCCAGCACTCAAATGTGTCAGGGCGGCATTGAAACGCAGATGCTGCCTGGTGACCAAGGGGCACAGGTGCTGCAGGGATCTGCTGGGACGCAGATGCTGCCAGGCGCCACTGGCACGCAGATGCCTCCGGCTGCCACAGGCACGCAGATGCTGCCAGGCTTCGCTAGCACGCAGATGCTGCCGGGTGGCTACGGGACGCAATTTGAGCAACCCTCTCCTTTAAGGCAGGGCTTTCCCGGCACTCAGTTGCTCCATGGTGGCGTTGAGACGCAGATGGTCTCGAGCGTCCACGGGATACAGATGTTGCATGGATCCCCTGGGACGCGTATGTTGCCGGGCGCCGGGAGCACGCCGATGCTTCCAGGGGCCGCTAGCACGCAGATGCTGCAGGGTTCCCCCGCAACGCAGATGTTGCAGGGCGCTTTCGGCACACAGATGCTCCAGGGTGGCGTGGAGACGCAGATGGTGCAGGGCGCAGCTGGAACGCAGATGCTGCTAGACGTAACTGGCACGCAGATGCTGCAAGGCGATGCTAGGCTGCAGATGCAGCCCAGCGGGGCTGAAATGCAGATCCTGCATGGCGGGGCTGTCACCCAGATATTGCCTGACGCCTCTGGAACGCACGTGCTGCCAAGTGCCGCTAGCACGCAGATGCTACCAGGTGGCTTCGGAACGCAGTTTGTGCAGGGCTCCGCGGGGCCCCTGTTGCAGGTCTCACCAGGGACGCAGATGCTTCCCGCTGACGCTGAGGCGCAGATGCTGCACGGCGCCCCTGGGACACAAATGCTGCGAGGTGTCGGTGGGCCAGAGGTGTCTTCGCTCCAGCCCGTCGCTCCGACGCAGATGCTGGACGTGACCCAGCAGGAAGTATCCCAGCAGGATCTTCCCGCTCAGGCGCCGAGGGATCGCGGCTTCCTCGAGGGGCTCTTCGATGACCTCGCCAGGGCTTGACGCCGCTAAGCGGCTGGGGCCCTCGCTGGGTGCGCCGAGGGATGGCCGAGATTATCCGAGCCGGCTCCTCGCGGGAGCGCAGGCAGATGACTGATCGTTGTCGGGGATCATCGTAGGTCTGTCTTCGGTGCGATGCGGCCAATGCTCGCGAGAGGCGATAGGCAGAGTTGAGTGCACTCGGCGTCCAAAAGTGTAAAACCTATTTCGCTTCGGCTGAGAGTGCGCGCGGCATGTCCGCCAGCATGGCCAGCATCCCTGCAGTATGCCAAAGGCCAACACCTCTGAGTGAACGGCCGCACCAACTACAAATGCCGCTGGGAGACTCGACCACAACCACACACAGAGCATGTAAACCCAAACAGCGTTTGCACTTGGGGGTTCTCACTGGGTTTGCTCAGCAATTGGGTGGGTCCGCCGAGGATGTTCCACGTGCCCGGCCGTGGGCGCCCCGTGCTTCGGGGGGGTCCGCCGAGGTTTCGGCTGGTGTCCGCCCGTGGGCGCTTCGTCGGCGCTCGTGGGCGCCCTGTGCCTCGGGTGGATCCGCCGAGGGGGGGTCCGACTGGTGCCCTCCCGTAGGCGCCTCGTGGGCTATCCGGGCGTTCCGTGCCATCATTGGGTCCGCCGAGGTTTCGCCTGGGTGCCCGGCCCCGTGGGCGCCTCGTGGGCGCTCGCGGGCGCCCCGCGCCCGTGGTGTGTCCGTTGAGGTTTCGCCTGGGTGCCCGGCCCCGTGGGCGCCTCGTGGGCGCTCGTGGGCGCCCCGTGCCGTGGGTGGGCCTGCCGAGGTTGTGCCCGGTGCCCGCGCGTGGGCGCCTCGTGGGCTCCCCGTGCCTCGGGTGAGAAGACACAGCTGGCACGGCATAGCTCACACCGCACAGGTCACAACGCATAGCTGACACAACACATGTCACAACGCATAGCTGACATAACGCAGTGTACACCACACAGCTCATTTCCCATAACTTACACAACACAGCTAGCCACATAGCTTACTCCGCATAACTTCCATTTCCACCGTGCAATTGCTATTTGTTTGGGGCCCACCCAGACCAACGTATTAATGCTAGACAGTCTGAAATCCACTAGGCAGGCCGCCATCGACCCATGGACACGGTCCCCAGGATATACAGGAAAGCGCGCGTTCAGTGGGCGTTTGAAGGGAAGGGTCCCGAACTGCTCCCCCCCCACCTGGTTCGGGAGGGGGGGGGCGTGCGAGCCCCCCCCGTAAAGGGCACATCTGGCTGGGACTATTTGGGAAGCGTGTTCGTGGGGTTTGTTGATCTGTTTGATTTAGCTTGGTTGTTGAGGCTCGTTTTCTTTCAAGATGTACTTCTCTCAGTCTCTCTCTCTGTTTTTTTGTTTGTTCTCTCTCTCTCTCTCTCCTTCGCTCGTTCTCTATATACTGGTTGGTCTCCCTTTCTCTCTCTTTCTTTTTTTGTTCCCAACCATCCTGTGGTGTTGGGTCCTCGTTTTGAAGAGACGGTCCCCGCGTTCTCCTCCTCTCCTCTCCTCTCCTCCTCCCCCTCCTCCTCCCTCCTCCCCCTCTTCCCTGCGCTTCACCCACCCAGTACAGCGTTTCGTAGCCCCATAGGGAGCTCCACCGAAGGCCCCAGTGTCACCGTCCACATGCGTCCCCCCCACTCAGTACAGCGCTTCGTGGTCCCATAGGGAGCTCCACCGAAGGCCCCAGTGCCACCGTCCACATGCGTCCCCCCCACTCAGTGCAGCGCTTTCTGGCCCCATGCGAGCTCCACCGAAGGCCCCAGTGCCACCGTCCACATGCGCCCCCCCCACTCAGTACAGCGAATCGTGGCCCCATAGGGAGCTCCACCGAAGGCCCCAGTGCCACAGTCCACACGCCCCCCACCCTCAGTACAGCGGTTCGTGGCCCCATAGGGAGCTCCACCGAAGGCCCCAGTGCCACCGTTCACATGCGTCCCCCCACTCAGTACAGCGCTTCGTGGCCCTATAGGGAGCTCCACCGAAGGCCCCACTGCCACCGTCCACATGCGTCCCCCCCACTCAGTGCAGCGTTTCGTGGCCCCATAGGGAGCTCCACCGAAGGCCCCAGTGCCACCCTCCACATGCGTCCCCCACTCAGTACAGCGCTTCGTGGCCCCATAGGGAGCTCCCGACCGTGCCAACATGCGGTGCGTTTCGTGGCCCCATAGGGAGCTCCACCGAAGGCCCCAGTGCCGTCCACATGCGTCCCCCCCACTCAGTACAGCGCTTCGTGGCCCCATAGGGAGCTCCACCGAAGCCCCCAGTGCCACCGTCCACATGCACCCTCCCCACTCAGTACAGCGCTTCGTGGCCCCATAGGGAGCCCCACCGAAGGTCACAGTGCTACCGTCCACAGTGCTACCGTCCACATGCGTCCCCCCCCACTTAGTACAGCGCTTCATGGCCACATAGGGAGCTCCACCGAAGCCCCCAGTGGGACCGTCCGAGTGCGTCCTGAAACGCCCAATTTGGCATTTTCACCCACCCATTACAGCGTTTCGTGGCCCCACAGGGAGCTCCACCGAAGGCCCCAGTGCCACCGTCCGCATGCGTCCCGCACACCCAATGTGGCATTTTCACTCACCTAGTGCAGCGTTTCGTGGCCCCACAGGGAGCTCCACCGAAGGCTCCAGCGGGACCGTCCGCAAGCGTCCCGAAACACGCATTGAGGCATTTTCACCCACCCAGTCCTGAATTTTGTGGCCCCGTAGGGAACTCCACCGAAGGCCCCAGTGCCACCGTCCGCATGCGCCCCGAAAACCCAACGTGGCATTCTTACCTACCCAATACAGCGTTTCGTGGCCCCGTAGGGAGCTCCACCGAAGCCCCCAGTGGGACCGTCCGCATGCGTCCCGGAACACCCATTGTGGCATTTTCACCCACCCAGTCCTGAATTTCGTGGCCCCGTAGGGAACTCCACCGAAGCCTCCAGTGGGACCGCCCGCATGCGTCCCGGAAGCCCAATTTGGCATTTTCACTTCCCCAGTACAGCGCTTCGTGGCCCCTTAGGGAGCTCCACCGAAGCCCCCAGTGGGACCGTCCAATAAGCGTCCCGGAACACCCATTGTGGCATTTTCACCCACCCAGTCCTGAATTTCGTGGCCCCGTAGGGAACTCCACCGAAGCCTCCAGTGGGACCGTCCGCATGCGTCCCGGAAGCCCAATTTGGCATTTTCACTTACCCAGTACAGCGCTTCGTGGCCCCATAGGGAGCTCCACCGAAGCCCCCAGTGGGACCGTCCGCATGCGTCCCGGAAACCTTACTTGACACACCACTCACCCAGAACAGCGTTCCCCCCCACCCAGTGCAGCGCTTCGTGGCCCCATAGGGAGTTTCACCGAAGAAGATTTTCACAATTGCGGTACCCACAACTGCATATGGTTGGGTCCTTCGCCTGGATAATTTGTCTCTCTTTCTCTCTCTCTCTCTCTCGGGCCAGCGCGCCGCCAGGGGCGGGCAGGCGAACATACGAACAATGCTGAACACATACAACACACACAAACACACACACACACCAAGGGCATCCTCAGAAAGCCATGCGGAAAAGCTGCAAGCACTAAGGAAAGCAAGGCTTTGGCCAGCTAACTAGTGCCACAAAACATGTGAACACAGTGTTTCGTGACGTCGATGAGTCAACGCCTTGTGTTTTCACATGCGGGCGCCAGAAACATTGATTATCCTTAGGCTGCGCAGTTCTCTCGCATGGCTTTCTTAGGATGTTTTAGTTTTTCGTCCCAACCATCCTGTGGTGTTGGGTCTTCGTTTTGAAGAGACGGTCCCCGCGTTCCTTCCGTCCTTCCTTTCTCCTCCCCCTCCTCCCTCCTCTCATCCCTGCTTCTGCCCTGCGCATGTCATCGTCGTCGCCCGTGGCTCCATAAGGAGCTCCACCGAAGGCCCCAGTGGCGATGTCCACATGCGTCTCCCTCAGCACACACGGCGCTTCGTGGCCTCAGAGGGAGCTCCACCGAAGGCCCCAGTGGCGGTGTCCACATGCGTCTCCCCCACCCAGCACGGCGTTTCGTGGTCCCATAAGGAGCTCCACCTAAGGCCCCAGTGGCGGTGTCCACATGCGTCTCCCCCACGCAGCACAGCGCTTCGTGGCCTCAGAGGGAGCTCCACCGAAGGCCCCACTGGCGGTGTCCACATGCGTTTCCCCCACCCAGCGCGACGTTTCGTGGCCCCATATGGAGCTCGACCTAAAGCGCCACTGGCGGTCTCCACATTTGCCCCCCCACCCAGCACAGCATTTTTGGCTCTGTAGGGGGTTCCACCGAAGGCCCCAGTGGCGGTGTCCACATGTTTTTCTCCCACCCAGCAAAACGTTTTGTGGCCCCAGAGGGAGCTTCACCGAAGGCCCCAGTGGCGGTGTCCACATGCGTCTCCCCCACCCAGCACTGCGTTTCGTGGCCCCACAGGGAGCTGCACTTCAGGCCCCAGTGGCAGTGTCCACATGCGTCTCCCCACCCAGCACGGCGCTCTGTGGCCCCATAAGGACTTCGACCGAAGGCCCCAGTGGCAGTGTCCACATGCGTCTCCCCCACGCAGCTCAGCGCTTCGTGGCCCCAGGGGGAGCTGCACTTGAGGCCCCCGTGGCAGTGTCCACATGCGTCTCCCCCACCCAGCACGGCGCTCCGTGGCCCTGAAGGGAGCTCCAACGAAGGCCCCAGCGGTGGTGTCCACATGCGTCTCCCCCACCCCGCACAACTTTCCGTGGCCCCAGAGGGAGCTCCACCGAAGGCCCCAGCGGCGGTGTCCACATGCGTCTCCCCCACCAAGCACTGCGCTTCGTGGCCCCATAGGGAGCATCACCGGAGGCTTCAATGGCACAGTCCACATGAATCTCCCCCATCCGGCACTGCGCTTCGTGACCCCATAGCGGGAACCACCGAAGGCTTCAGTGGCGGTGTCCACATGCGTCTCCCCCCCCCCAGCACGGCGTTGCGTGGCCCATACGGAGCTCCACCGAAGGCCCCACTAGAACCGTTCACATGCGTCTTCCCCGCCGCGCTTCGTGGCCCCATATGGACCTCCACCGACGGCCCCAATCGACCCGTTCACATGCGTCCCCCCCATACAGTACAGCGTTTCGTGGCCCATAGGGGGCTCCACCGAAGGCCCAAATGGCAAAGTTCGCATGCGTTTCCCTCGCCCAGTCCAGCGTTTCGTGGTCCCACAGGGAGCCCCACCTACGGTCCCAGTGGTGGTGTTCGCATGCGTCTCCCCCATCCAGCACAGCGTTTCGTGGCCTTACAGGGAGCTCCATTTTAAAGCCCCAGTGGCGGTGTTCGCATGCGCCTCCCACCCAGGACAGCGTTTCGTGGCCCCACAAGGAGTTCCA